CATCTGATACTGCAGGCAGTGGTGCCATCCGGTAGGAGATATGTGCAAGCCTTCGCCAGCGACTATTCATGGCCGATGCATCCTTGATTTTGCCGGTCAAACGACTGCTCCGACATATCTGCCTCAGCATCGTATAGTCGAGATCACCAAAGCACGCCTGTATGCGGCTCGCTTATTCGGCTTGCTGTTCCATTGTATTTGAGAACCGTCCGAGACGATTCATGGTGTGCGTCCAGATCGCATAGCAAGCAACTTCGTAGCTACCAGGTCTCAAATCTCATCTGATATTCACAAACTTCAACTCTGGCAGGCTCTACAGTGTTGAGCATGGAGATATGAGAGTACATTCCACCTTGCTTGCTGATGGATACAAAAACCATGCAAGTACAGTACTCTGCCCAGTGCCACCTAAGTAGACGCTGCTGGAGGTCCGAGATGGTAGCTGCCGAAGTGTGATGTTACGGCTCGGATGGGAGCCTAAGGTCCGAATATGGACGGAAAGTCACCTATCGGGTCATATGGCATGCTTCGCTTTGTAAAACTGAGCGTCCGAGGGTTTTTCATATTATAAATGCAGACTGCGTGACCCATTGTCACGACCATGACGCAATCGTGACAGATTTACTTCCTGACCCACTGATGGTCGCCGTGAAAGGACATAGTGTCCTTTTTCCTGCCGTCCGGAAAAAGGACACCTGCTTTGCCCGCCGTGTCAGTGGTAGCATAAGTCCTCTATGCACTGGCGTTGGAACGGCTACGACGCTGTAGGAACGTGTCGATCAAGTTGTTCATGTTGCCCAAGCCTCTCTCCTCGGGCAACCACTCGCCATTGTTTACGCAGAGAACCTTCATACGTTCATCGTACCGCAGATCTGGAAGGAGCTTGGGGGTAATGAGGAAATACTGCCGGCTGTCGGGTTTGCAGGTGACTTCGACGAGTTCGTTGTGAACGGCCCGCTCGGCGCGTGCATCCATACCCTGGAACCAGGGTTCGTTAGCAAGCCATTGAGTAGTCGCTAGGAACGTACCTGATTGATCTCGTCAACCAGTGAGAATGGCGCCCGTGCTTCTTCAGTCAAGCTCATGAGGTACATAATCGTAGTCAGAGAACGTTCCTGCCCCTCAGATGTCAGCTCGGAGACTTCTAGATGGATAGATGGTGAATTACCCCGCCAGACTGTCTTTGACCTGTCAATAGCTGCAACTTCTCGCTATCCCGGAACTTGACAAGGATATCAATGGCCCATTTCTCGAAGTCTTCGTCGCGGCTGATTCTGATTTCACCAGCGCAACCGATCCCTAGGGAACAGTTAGCGAGGGCTGGAGTTGAGGCTGAATCCTGTCTCACTGTCGAAAGCAGCGGAGAACTTCGTCCCAATACTATTAACCAGTCTTTCCAGTGCAGGTTCCCAGTTATCCTGAAAAATGTAATGAGCAGACTGCAGCCAGGAGACCTGGAAGCAGAAGCCCACCTGCGCGGCTTTGATTGCTCTCTCGATCTTTGCTATCCTTCTCTCACGCTGCTCGATTTTTTGACTCAAACTCTCTATCTAGAGATGGCGGAGATCAGTCCCGGCCCGCCGCAAGTGGCAGATAACGTACCTCCTCCTTCCTCCTCTCGTACTGCTCGATGACCGAAGCGTTAGTGTTCAGGTTCATGGACAACTCAGCGCGCTGAGTTTCTAGATCTGTCTGGATATCCTCCACGCTCTTCTGATTTACTTGTCCGGACTACGATGATCGTTCAACGGATGAAGCCACTCTCAAGATGGCTCTACGCACCTGCTCCATCTCCCGGAAGCGCTCTCGGATCTCGTCGTCAGCGGCATCCAATCTTGCCTTGCTTATGTCCAACTTCTCCTTAGACTCCGCCTTGGCGGCTAGGAACAGCTTCTCGGCTACGAGAGTACAAATTCAGCAAAAATATCTTCCATTGAGGCCTACAGATGGCTCACCTTTGGTATATTCGTCGAGCGTCTTGTCGAACTCCTCATCGTGCTGTTTGACCAGCGCTTCCAGGGCAGAGATATTCGAGCCAGTTTGGAGGTATTGCAAGCCTATTCGGGTGGCGTCGGATTGTTCCTTGATAGCAGCACGGGCAAGATCCTGCGCGGTTTATTGGAACCTGAGCGGATCTGAAAAGGAGCAAAGCACCTACATTGTATTCTCGGGCAAGCTTAGCTCGTTTCTGACAATTAACCAGAATTTTCTGCTTGAGCTCCTTCCGACGTTCAGTCATCGGGGGCTTATTGCGTAACTCCTCGAGCCGCGTTTGGGCATTATCTGCATTGAGTGAATATTTCCGGGTATCAACATAACCAATGCGTGAAACAGACCTCGGTTGAGTCGCATCCGCTGCAGTTTGGTCTGAATTTCTTGGATGGCTCGTTTCCGGGCTACCAGATCGTCCTACACAGCGGAAGTCAGTATCAGGCCCTTGACAGCTTAGCGCCATCGACTGACATGCACGGCTTTCTTCTCCTTGCCTTCCGCTTGGATCTGGGCCTCGAAGTCCGTGAGCTCCTTGACTTGTTCATCAAGCCTTGCCAGGTTCTCTCGGGCGGTAGCTATTTGTCGATCGAGACGTCGCATTTGTTCTTGATCAACTACACCACGGTTTCAGATGGCGTGCTCGATTAACATGCAATCAAGTTGAAGCACATACCAGAAGCCTGTGCAAAGTTCCTGGCCGGTCTAATGTCGCCGGTGCTGTTCTGAGGCAGTCGCTTCCCGTATCTTGACCGGGCGACCCGGTTCATGGTCATGCCAGCGATGAAACTGGCACCGCCGCCTTCGCCACGAGGTCCGAGACGAGAAACCAGGTCCATGGCTTGAGCAACAGGGACTTTACTGCCGTCCAGAGCAATGGCCTAAAGAGTGTCAAGCTCGCCACCGAGCGAAAGAATGGATCCAAAACGTACCGTCCGGTGCAGCTGCATTTCCTTCTTCAAGTACCACTTCAAGCCTTCAGGGCAATCGACGTAGTCGATCGCGTAGCCATCAAAGTGCATGGCGGCCATCTAACGCGGATGAGACAAGTTACTTCCCTAGAAGATATGGCATTACCCACTTCTTCTGGACTCAAGGGTGGTGGTACAAGGCTTGCCTCCGAATGAGGGCGGAACCAAGTAGGGACTCGTGCCCTCCGGCCAAGAGCTTTATCTGTATCGATAACAAGGTGATTCAGAAGTTCATAGTCTTCTTCGCATTGAGCAACGAAGGTCTGCAACCGTGTCAGGCTGAGGACCTTCCCAAATCTCGCCGTAAACGCACCTTCATCTGTGTGGCACCGAAACAGGCTTCGACGGCCGTCGCATATGCTTTATTGGGCACTGTACAACTGATTGCAGCGGGCTCGATGATCGGCATCTTGAATCTATGCTGGTTTTGCCTAAGCCACTCGATTGTCTCGGCGCAGTCTCTATCCCATCTTGCCAGTGCCTGCAGTTTCTGGTGGTGGACGTCGTTAAGGCGATTTATACTTGCCAACCGAGTCCTACGTCAGCCAATGCAGCGTAGAGACCTGTGAAGGACCACATACCCTTGCTGCGCGTTACTGATATCAGCTTTCCACTTCGCGACTTCATCGGCATGAGTCCTTTGACGGTCCTGCAGTTGTGACTGCTTCGCGGCGAGCTCCCTCTGGCCTTGGGCGTTTAGTTTCTATAGGCAGTGACCGATATCAAACTCCGGGAGACGCCATTATTGAAATATCGTGAACTGACCAATTCTGCATTGAGAGCATCAATATCTTCCGTGTCTGGCGGGTTGGCAATGTCGTGATCAAGCTTCTCGATTTTACGCTCGAGTTCCGCTATGTTCTTGGCAATCTCCCTCTCTTCTTTCTTCAAGTTGTCCAGCTTATTCATCAGGTTTTGAACTTCAGTTTCCTGGCTGCGCGGTGAGAAGAGCTTAAGATGTGAGAGTAGACTGTCGATACCAATGCGTCTCCATCATCGTACTTCTTCCTCATTGCCTCGAACTTGGAGCGCGCGACTTTCTTCTTGTCCTCTCTGTCCTGGTTAAGCTTCTTGTAGCGCTTCTTGAGCTTCCTGGTCACACATGTTACCTCGGACACCTGAAACCTGAAAATGAGAGATGTGCTCACTCCAACAAGTCATGGGCAGGCGCATTCCGATTTTTGAGCCGCTGGACCTCCGCATGCAGCCGCCTCTGTTCGGCCTTCGTCTCCTGATACCTTTTGAAGGCCTCGCTATACTCCTTGACGGGCAAAATAAGCTCCAGGACTGCAATCTGGACGGCGCAGACAATAATCAGTGTAGATCATTACAGAAGCCATGCAGGCAGCTAACCCGTTGCTCGATCTTCTTGCGTTCATTGTACCGCTCGACGTCCTTCTTGAGCATATCATTACGTTCTTCCATCGTCTGTAACTGCGCTTTCTCGCCTGCGAGCATCTACCAGCACACGGTGAGTGAATAAATGTAGTCAGATGGACGAAAAGGGCGTGCCTCTTTAAGCTGGGATGCTTCCTTGCCGGAACTGATAAGCGTATCGTGCCATGCGCTGAGATTCTCGTTTCCGGCGGCTTTCTCGGTCTGACGCAGCAGCTCTTGAGGGCTCATCCTCGCGAACTCTGCGACCTTATCTTGCGGCAAGAAAGAACTCGGAGGCCATTGGCACGGGGTGATAGTGGAGAACCCAGACATACTTACCACAAGTTCCCAACTTGAACGTTCAAGTCTCCAATCCTGCTTGTCACCTCCTTGCCGCTTGCAGGCTGACCATTAATAGAGAACGAAGATCCTTTTGAGTCCGCGGACAGGTTCCGTCGGATGGTCAAGTTGCCTTGACCCTTCTTGCCCTTGAGCTCGATCTCTACATAACCTTTGTCGGTGCCGAGCTTCACGAAAGAGTTCAACTCGGATGCACGGCCGAGGATCTTGGAGGCGGGGTAAGAAACGCTGGATACCAGAATTTAGGGACACTCACACTGGTAGGGAAGTTCAGCCCAATGCAGAGAGCACATGCTATACTACTCTTTCCGGTACCATTAGGGCCGAGGATCATATTCAAGTACGGACCGGGGTTGAACTCGACGTAGTCATAGGTTACGAAGTTATGGAGCTGGACACGAACGATGGATCCCGGAATGTATCTAGTGCAGACTATAAATAACCAAGTTTATCTGAGGATTAGAGGCACACCGTGCTCACCCGTCGTCATCTCGTGGCAGTTCCATATACTCTCTCTGCTTTCCCTTGCTTTCACTCTTGATTGGCCGGCCGTCACCGTCGGTATTGATCCTGGCTCGTTTGTTACCCCTAGGAGAACCAGCTCCCTGCTCGTCTTCGTCCTCGTCGTCGTCATCTTTTTCATCATCATCATCCCGTTCCTCATGGGTAGCTTGCTCGTCCTGCTCCGCTTCGTCTTGCGCGTCGACAGCCCGCCGCTGAGTGGGAGCGCGTAAGTTCTCTCGCTTCGAACTCTGCTTCTCCAGCTTCACCGAGTGGCCGTGTTCATCGGCCATTGGGCCAGTATTCTCCTTATGTGAGTCGTCGGACTCTGGGCTGACGGCTCGACGTGCCATACCAGGTCGTTGCGCGTGGTGGAGGATGGACAGGCAATATGTGGTATAATTAGCCGAGACGCGTCTGTTGGTGGCTATTTGGCGCCCACAATGTACTAGTATGTTAATTTAGGGCCGGCACATTCGCGTTAAGCGACTTTGATAAGCTTAGCGTTGACGATGGAACCTGAACAGAGCCCGTTTCCTCAACAATGTACCCAATGGTTCGTAGACACGCATAAGCTACGTTTGGTAGCTTCCGACACATTGTCCAACGAAGAGTGGATGGTTGCGGGCCCGCAGGCATCCCGCAGACGCGTCCGCAATAGCGAGTGACTGCAAATATTATTGCTATTTTAAGGAAGCTTGTCACGTGACCGCCGCGCAATCTCGCGGACGCGTCTGAAGTGCTGCTCAATTCTTATTTCGTTCGTCCGTTCGTCTGTTCGTTCGATTGAGCGCGTCCAAAAGAGTGAGGAAGCAATGATGGCCGGCGATCCGGGACCACGGTCATGTGATGTGCTCACCGGTCGCGGCAAGGCATCGAGAATTTCCGTGGCTAGTTATGTGGACGAAATCCGTCGACGTAGATTACATGCCACATTATTCTCCTCATAGCAA